AATGGTATATCACTTAAATGTTCTGAAAGGAAGTTGCACCACACTTTGTCCCATGGCCAACTTCTAGGAAACCTATGATAAAATACTCTAGTCAGTCTAATACTACTCATTTCACTTCCTCACTTATTTGAGAGCTCCAGACGACAGTTTTGGTGTGCTTCAAACAAGACATTAAGGCCAAACTCAAAGGCGTATCAAGGAGAAAGAAGAAATAAACATTACAACATGAATCAATGTATCATATTCTTCCTTTTATCAAGCTTGTATGAACCTCCATGGTGGAATTTGGAGGAAATGTTAGAAACTTAATATTTACACCATGAATTCTTAGTATAATGTTATAGTGAGGATTATAAACATGATTTCAAGCTTTATATGTCAAATCTATGGATAATTTTTTGGATTTAAAGATGATTTTTAAGAACCCTAATTTAGTGAAGTGCTAGATACATGAAATTGAACTCAGATCTTAATGAATGAACACATGTGCATAAGTTATTCGTGAGTTAGTTTTGATGATGTTGAAGAATCAACCAATTTATATACAAGTATGATGAACCCTAATTGTGTAAATTGTTAGATACTTGAAATTGAGCTAATGTTTTAATGAATTAAGACATATACATAAGTTATTAGTGGAGCTTAATTAGTTATATCCACGAAATTGTGAAATAAGGAAATTACATTTTAAAAGAAAATATGGAATGGAATTAAGCTCTTTTTGGAATAAGAAGTATCCTTATGAGCTTATTAAGTTGGTAGAATATGAATTATGGAACCTTTAGTAAAGAAGCACCAAGTGAAGGATAAAAGTGATAGTTAGTCTTCACCACTTTGCCAGGTGAGTACATGTGGATTTTCCCTATGAGATACATGACGTAGTAATGTTTTTTGATTGAATTGTCTCTTTGAAAGAGTAAGAAAGTGTTTGAAATAGCTTTGAAAGTAAAAACGTTTTAGCATATAATCAAATGAAATCTTTTTAAAAGAGTAAACTAAATTTTTTGAAAAGTAAATTTTTTGAACTAATGAACTCTTCATCTCTAATAAATGAAGGGTTTTTTTTTGCCACATGTCACTTTGTCATGAATTATGACACTTGACATTTTATGGTGTTTTTGAATTTATAAAAATCCACATGTCATTTTCTTGTATTTATCAATTGTATTTAAAAATTCCACCTAATTATGTATTTATGAGGATTTAGGAATGCATGTTCTTTCCAAATTTCAATTCCTACATTTAAGGCCATTTAAATCAATTTTCCATTTATTTTTCTTATTCGATATTATTAGCCTAAAATTATGCTACTATTTGATAAAGGCATTCAAATTCACATATATTCTATTTTTTCAAAAACTTTCCAGTGTATCTATATATGCTATACAGATTTAAAATTATGCTACTAACATACTCTTTTTGATATTTTTCTTAGATTTTTTTTTCTTTGTTTTCTTATTTTCCAAATAAAATTTGTTTAAACATATTTTTGAGAATAATAAAATAATAGAAGTTACTAGCAAACTAAATTATTTCATTTTAAATATTTTAAATAAAACACTGGTATTACTATGTATGAGTATAATTTTTTTTATATTAAAATTTATATTTTATAGTACGACTTGATGATTGTATCATTAATCTTGAGTTAAAACACACTGTTGATGTTTTGATATTTACACTTTGATATTTAACTTTTATTTTAATCAACCCGTGTAGTACACGGGTCTCACAGCTAGTTTATTAATATATAATTTGAAAGATGAAAGTATAATATGAGCTTATGTTCAATGTTTTGATATGATATTGTCATTAATATGCAAGTTATTATTATTTTTCTATTCATAACATGTCATTTGTATGTGATTGAGTCGGTAAAAAAAAGCGGTGATCATGTATCTTATGATTGAACTTCTTAGTAAATTAATAAATGAAGAACATTTTAGCCCTAGTTTTCCCATGAGGGATAAACAAGACTCTACTAGGATGGTATATCCCATTGTGAAGTAGATGTATATCAGGTTAGTTCTATAATAGGACAATTTGAAGTGGTTCGTCTAGACCACCCGGACCCTCAATAGGCCTAGATTACACATTCGATATAGCAAGAAAACAAAAAAGATAAATTGAAGAAGAAGGATTTTGGTTGCATCCTTTGGTATCTTTCAAATGGTTGTCGAGTGGTTGTATTTATACAACAAACCATAACTGGAAAAACAATTAAATCGATATTAAAACACAATTCGTAACCTACATCATATTTACTATCATTCTTAATTACAAATTGTAACCGAAAATTAAATATCAATTTTCGATTATACACCATTAAACCCCTCAACTTTCGTGATTAGTTTCAATTCACCATTTTTTCTTCCAACATTTTCATCCATTCCAATTGTAGTAAGTAACTCCCCTCTGCATTTTCCTTTTCGAAAAACAATCGTCCAATCTAATAAATCTTCAACAAACCCTACTCCACTCATCATTGATTTCCTTGAAAGTAAGTGCCTTTATCTAGATTGACTGTAACACCCACCTTGGTTGTACTCCTAGGGTCAGATATGATGTTGTCATGTGCATAGTCTTATCTATGTGCATAATCTTATGTTAGCTTCACATTTGTATTTTCCAATGCTTTCTTCATTGTCTTATAACATTGCTCTTTGATACTACACACGATAACTTCTTATTCACTTCTTCCTTCATCTCTCTACCTTTCATTTGTGGTATGCTATTTAAGTATTGAAGGATTTTTTTACAATCCAATTTGGATTCATTAATGTAGCATGCCTAACCTCCCTAATGTTAGTATGATTTGCATCAAGTCTCTTAATCTAAATTGACTTTTCCTATTCACCCATGAAACCCAGAGTTTAAATGGACACCATTTTGCCTTTCCTTTCAAAACCATATTTGGCTTGAAGCCTTTATGTACATGAATTTACCACCTTAATTGGAAAACCATTGGCAACTTATGAGATATAAACATAATTCATCTTTACTACCATAACTTTCCATAAGATATGGTTTCAGGTTCTTCCAAGAAACTATAGGGTCATGTAAACCAAATTGAGTATCACATTCAACAATTTCATCATCCATATCCCTTTCATAATATGAAAATTCGTCATCTTTAATTTCTTCGTCGTCAACAGTTTGTGGGTCTTTAGGTACAAGAACATGGCACAAATCATAAAGAAAAACATTGGGGGAACCTTCATAAATGGTTTGCTTTTCCCACTCAGTGTCTACAAAATCAAAATCATGTCTGCATCCATAAACCAAATCAAATACGAGATATGGTCAAAATACTAACAATGGGTCAAATTGTCAACAACATCCTTTAGACTTTAGAATGTAGCAATCTATCTTCGTAGAATCAATAGATCGAATTTTTCTTGACCAAAACAACTTCCAAGCATTCCTCAGCATCCTTCTTCAGTTCCAGGCTCCAATTAACTCCAATGCTCCATTAAACGCATTCAAAGCTGCTCCCAAAGTACTGTTCCACTCAAATTATTTGAAAACAACATAAAAACATGAGCAGTACAAGAATCCTAATGAATAACATGAGATGAACATTATTTAAACTAATGACATGCAAATGTGTAAAATATGATGCCAAATGCTACTTAAAACTACCTAAAAGATGCATAAAATGACATCTAGCAGACATATCATTTGACTCTCTTGCTTCCTCTATGGGGGGTTTCATCCGATGGTGTTCCTTTCTCCATTACCACCAAAGATTAAATCTTGTATCTACCCTAAGATTGAATCTTTCTTGAATCTACCATAAGCAATAATCAAATCCTAATTATGTTTGTTGTTTCCACGGTAGATGTGTGGGGAACCCTTTTAATTGAATGACGCTGATTTGACGAGAATATTAATGAGAGTCATTGACTTGGCTAAGGAAACATAAAGGGTTATGGGGAGGTAACCGGTCTTAATTTGCAAAAAATTGAAAAGATAATAAATTATTTGAAAATAATACGGTGTCAAAATCGTAAAAAATATAAAGCTGGCGATTTTATGGAATTTTCCATTAAAAAAAAACGCATCAGAAATATGAAATTACAAATGTTTTTCTTTTCGGAAATTATTTAATATTAGTAGATTAAAATCAAGACATCGTGTCAACTTGAGCAGATAATTAATTTGTTTAAAGGAAGTAATAAAGAAAAAAGTGAAAAAATCACATGGTAGGAAGAGGTGGATATTCCTGATAATATGGTGTTTGAAAAGAGGATTAATTAATTAGTTAAGTTGCTTGGAAATTACGATATTAAGGGTGAATTATGGTTTTAGAGAATTTTTTATCGTAACTACAAGAAACCATCTTCTGTACGGTAGCTGCCATCGACCACCGTTGTCGTTCCTTCAGTTTTACATGAACGGGCGCCGGATAATTTCCACATGTACCTTCATACTTCAAATCAGGTTTATCCAATTTTTTAGATACTACGTACTAAAATTAAAAGTTGATTAATGTGTTAAATATGTTAAAAACTTTATTTTATTACACTAATACCAATATTTTCGGAATTAAATGAATTTACAAAAAGTAAACATAACAAACACACTTTGGTGGGCGTCTTTTACTTGAATTATTTTTAGCTTGAACTTTCAAAGAAGTCAAATATAATGTACATAATTAATAAAAATCAATATTAAAATTTAAACATGATACTTTCCAAATTCTTATTTCATTTTTTTTTTTTTAATTTTAATCGTCACCGACGGAGACGAGGACGACAACCATGCATCGGAATTTACATGTTACAATGATGACATATTTAATGACTTAACACCATTAATAATATAAACCCACGATTCTCTCTCGACGAAAAATGGCACCTCGATCCGTATAACAAGGATCTCATAATAAACTCAACACATTTCTAGGGTTTCTCAATGTCAACTTTCACTAAACTTTCATCACACTTTTCCACATATTTATAATCATCATCATCATACTATAAATCCAAACTCCATCACGTCGTTTTGAAACCCTTCTGATCAAATAACCCATTTCTCGTTATACATACACAAAACCCTAGCTAATTAACCGTCATCTATAATGGCCAGAATTAGTAAACTCTTTTTTCCATTTATCTTGTATGTACTTTTCGTCTGTACTTCGGTTTCTTGGTGTTTACAAGAAGACGGAGAGTCGGATAGCGATATTAACTATTGGTGTGACACAACTCCTCATCCACAACAATGTAAGTATTTTTTGAGCAGTGGGACTCATCATACCCCAAGGCACAGGAAAGACTTCAGGATGTTGGTTTTGGAGGTCGCTTTGCAGAAAGCTCAAGAAGCTCAAACTTGCAGTAACGACCTCAGGAATAAATGCAAGAGCAAAAGAAAGAAGGCGGTGTGGCTCGATTGCAACAAGCTTGTTAATCAAACCATTCTCCAACTCAACCAAACCCTAATTAGTTTCAGACATAACCGGAGTTCAGACTTTGATGCTCAAACATGGCTCAGTGCTGCTCTCACGAATCTCGAAACTTGTTTTTCGGGTTCTCAAGACTTCAATTTGACAAACTTTGTCTCTCCACTCAAATCGCATAACCTTACTGAGATGATAAGCAATAGTTTGGCAATAAACCAGTTTTTCTTGAAGCAAAAGTCAGCGAGTGATGACGATCGGGAGCTTGATAATGATTTTCCGACTTGGGTTACACCCGGCGACCGAAAATTGTTGCAGACAGGTTCACTTCGCACAAAGGCTAATTTAGTCGTGTCTCAAGCCCGTGGGAGTAAGTTTCGAACCATTCAATCAGCTCTTAAATATGCAGCAGGTTATAATCGTCGGAACAAAAGATATATTATCTACATAAAGAGAGGAGTTTATAAGGAGAACATCGAGATTGGGAACGATCTAAATAATATCATGTTCCTTGGTGATGGAACTAGATACACCATTATCACTGGTTCCCGGAGTGTCGGCGGCGGTTTCACAACTTATAGCTCTGCAACCGTCGGTAAGATCAATTCTTCTCTTTTCCGGTCATTTACTCAATCATAAATCTTTCTTGTTATATATATACGTTATAGTCAACACAAGTTGTCTACGTTTAAACGTAATGCTATGATCTAAGTTAAGTAAAGTAGACGATTTATGAGTGAAAGCATATAAAATATGCATGGTACGTGAGTACGTTATTGCATGCAATTTCTTCACCATGCAGTTTACTTATCATCAATACCTTGTGTACCTAAGAAGATACTGATAACCAAGCTTTCACACACACACACACAACACATTCTAGAGGTGTGAGAGAGAAGCCAATACCATTATATATATGTAGTTAATTGTATTGATTTCACTTATGTATCTATAATTCCGATTTGAAATTCAGGAGTGGATGGCACTGGATTCATTGCCCGTGGCATAACATTCAGGAACACTGCCGGCCCTGCAAAAAGCCAGGCGGTGGCACTCCGATCATCATCTGATCTGTCGGTATACTACGCTTGTAGCTTCGAAGGTTATCAAGACACTCTGTTTGTCCTCGCACAAAGACAATTCTACAAAACTTGCTACATTTATGGAACCATTGATTTCATATTTGGTAACGCCGCTGTGGTCTTCCAAAACTGTATGATATTAGCAAGAAGACCACTGAAAGGACAAGCAAACATTATAACAGCCCAAGGTCGTGGTGATCCCTTCCAAAACACAGGAATTTCGATTCATAATTCGCGTGTTATGGCTGCTCCAGACTTAAAGCCTGTGGTGCGCACAGTCAAGACATATCTGGGTCGCCCATGGCAAGAATATTCGAGGACAGTTTATATGAAAACTTTCCTTGATAGTCATATCGATCCAGTAGGGTGGTCGCCATGGGATAATACTAATTTCGCGCAGAGTACATTGGTTTATGGTGAATATCAATGTTTTGGCCCTGGTTCTTCCACAAGAAACCGTGTGAAATGGCGTGGATACTCTGTTATAACAAGTGCGAGTGTTGCATCGCAGTACACGGTGGAGAGGCTTATTGCCGGCCGGTCATGGCTGCCGGCAACCGATGTACCCTTCACTCCAGGATTATGAGAAAAAATCGGTTACGTTGTGTTATTATTTATTAATTATTTGTGTACATTTTTTGGATTGATATTGGAATTGATACAACTCGTATTTATCCATAAATTTGCTGATTTTCTTTTTCATTTAAGTGATTATATTTTTAGCTGGCTAGTCTAAGCCCAAATGATTTTAATGGGCTTTGTATGTGTAATATCTTTTGGGGCCGGGCGCAATTTTTAGAGTCCCGATTCATGATATATTTGGTAATAAACAGTTTTTAATAGTTTTAGTCCGTTTGAAATTAGCCAATTAGGCATATAAAATATTTGGAGTTTTAAATGCACTATATTGATTTTTCCACCTTTTAATAGTTAAAAAACAAAATATTTCGTTAATCCTAACTTAATGTACATTTTTGTGACCCTTTATTGTTTGTTCTCATATTGGCATCCACTCCTTCGGCCATCAGTCATTTAGGCAGGCATCTCTCGACGGTTCTTTGTAGGGCTGTTCACTATTTGGATAAAACTGAATTGTCCAATTGGACAATTTGGATTGGACTATTTGGTTCGGATATTCGGATTTTTGGATTGGTTTTCAACAAAACCGAATTATTATTTTGGATTTTGGATTGGTTTTGGTTTATAAAAGACAAAACTTCAAAAATGGTCCCTGTGGTTTTCGAAAATATCAAGTTTAGGCCCTAAGTTCAAAAAACCTCACAGATGGTCCCTGTTGTTTCAAAACTTTTAATGTTTAGTCCTTCCGTCTAACTCCGTCAGCTTTCTACCGTTAAGTGAGGGGTATTTTCGTCATTTCAATACCTAGGGACCATTTATGAGGTTTTCTCTATTTAAAAAAATAATAAAAATAAAATATAAATATTTAATGTCAAAGGGTCTCTCTCTCTCTCCTCCTCCTTCTTCTTCTTTTATAACTGATGGAACAAAAAAACCCAACACCCTCCTGTGCCTTCACCCTTTTACTTGTTGACTAGCCAAAGGCCAAGCCTTCTCTTCTTCATCTCGGTGGTACCAACTCGAGCATAAACAGCACCACCACCACTCTCCCTCCCCCTAACTTCTTCCCTCCCGAGGACAACCCAAACCTCCAAAACCACCGAGAAACCTTCATCACCACCTGCTATCTTCCTTGCCCCACTCTCTCTAAACCGCTGGTGCAGTACAACATGGTGTGGTTTTTGTTTTGCTAAATCGCTGCTAACTACATGAATCCGATTCACTCTTCATTCCCTGTTTTCATAAAAGTTCTTTTGTAAGCTACAAGGTATCGATTATTCGATAGTTGTTCATCATAATAAGTATATAGTGAAACTGGAAATGCTGAATCTCAGATAGGAGTAGATTATGGAGATCTAGAAACATATGTTTACTTGATGTAGTAAAAACTTGAAATCAAAACTTAGATTCTGATAGAAATTAGGTTAGTTTATCAATTCCAGAATCTAGAAGAAATCGAATTCAAATGTTATATATTCAATCGTTTTGAATTTGGAATTTGGGATTAGTTTACCTTCGATACCGGAATGGAAGATTCCGAAGCCCAACCAGTAGAGGTAGTTATTGACAGGGGTGAGATCATATACGTTGAGATACAATAAAGCATGATCACTTCCTCCATTTCTAAGCTCTCTGGACGAATTCATCGGAAACAGTCGCATTGTTTTGTTTTATATCTATGCACAGTTACAAACACACCACTTCGCCTCTCTTCAGTGCTCCCAATTCTTTCTCCAATGAAGATTATCCGTGTAAACCCTAAACTCCTAACCCTAGAAAACCTTAAAAGATGGAAAACTAAAATTAAAATCGGAAGTTCGTGAATGAAGAGATTAAAGGCGCATGGAAGTCTAAATCTAATACAACAAATCGAAGCTAAAAAAACGACAATCGTAATACAGTCTTACATCGATTTGAGCAGCAAGTTTAAGCCACTAGTTTGGATGAGAGAGAGAGAGAGAAGAGAGAGAGAGAGAGAGAGAGAGAGAGATGGGGTGGGACCCTTGCATATTAAATTTTATTTATTTAAAAATAATAATAGAAAACCTCATAAATGGTCCCTGGATAGTAAAATGACAAAAATGCCCCTTATTTAACGGCTAAATTGTAACGGAGTGAGCCAGAAGGACCAAATGTTAAAAGTTTTGAAACCACATGGACCATCTGTAAGGTTTTTTGAACTTAGGGACTAAACTTGATATTTTCGAAAACCACAGGGACCATTTTTGAAGTTTTGTCTTTATAAAATAAGAACCGAATAGTCCAAAAAAACTGAATAGTCCAAAAAAACAAAATAAACATTTATTATTTATTTATTTATAATATATATCTATAGTTATTTATTAATTTTGTAATTTATTTTTTCAAATATGTTCAAAACGTTTCACCCGATCAAAAAACATTAATATGCATTTTCTCTCAAAAGTTTTTTCTATCTATAAAGTATTTAACTATAATATATATTCTTAGTAATTGTTTATAAATTTCAAATCACAACTAAATAATTTGTTTTCGCTTCTTGTATAAAGTTGGGTAATATTATAATTATATGTCGTTTTAAAATGTTTCGGTTTTTGAAAACCGAATTATAAAAACCGATCCAACTGAATTGTAATTGGATTGGATCGGATCGGATTTGAATTTTGTTTGGACTGTTCGGATCCATGTTTTGAAAACCGAAATCAATTTGGATTCACTTGATTGGATCGGATCAAACCGATCCATCCAAACGAACACCCCTAGTTCTTTGCTCAGCATTTCCTTATCTCTAATTATATGCATTGAAATCGAAATGATTTGTCATAACTTTTTTACGAAAATGATTTTAAATTTAAATAACATCTATTAGTTTTATATTATTTTTGTATTGTCCGAGTGTATTAATGACATTAGTTTAATACAATTTGTTGGTGAATTGTTTTACTATTTAAGTGTAATGGATTGATTTGTTGACCAAAATCAATTTTGATGAACGAGAAATGGAGTACACACTTGTTTAAGTTTATACAAAAATTTAAAGTAAAGGAAAAATGATTTCGGAATTGAATATGATTTCGGAAGTGAAAATTATATCAGAACTGAATATGATTTCGGAACTGAAATGATATCGGAACTGAAACTGATTTCGAAATGGAATTGGCTTCCGATTTTCGGAATGGAAATAGCTCTGATAAGCTCCGATGAATTGGAACTCATTGAAATGGTATTGTGACTTCCAATGAATCGGAACACGTTGGAACGATACTATTCTTTTCAATGAGTTGCGATGATCGGAACGTGTAGGAACAAGCTTACATCAGAATGCGTGTAGTTCGGTGTTTTACCCATCGGTTTGGTGTTTTATCCAGTGGTTAAAACGACCGTTTTATATCAGGTTTGACTGTTGGTGACAATTTTGGGACACCCTTCGGTTATGCTTTTATCCAGTGGTTAAAAGCCCGTTTTTTGTGCCAGTTATGAATGTTGCAACTGTCTTGTGACAGTTTTAGACATGAGACATATTTAAGCTTGTTTTGGTCAAAATAACGGTACAGACGAAAAATATACCCTTTCATTCTCTTTTCTTGCTCTCAAACTTTTGAGTATTATCCAATTGAGGATTTGGGAGTATCACCCAAATACTTCGATTTGAAAGTGTAAAACACGATCTCAGAATTTCCAAGTGCTTTTTAAACCCAAATCTCGAACAAAAATCGAAGTATTCTTGTGATCATGGCAAGTGACAATTCTGTGAAGGACATGGTAAGCAAGCTTGACAAACTGAACAAGTTTTAAGGGCGAGATTTTTGCAGATGGCAAAAGAAGATGCATTTTCTTCTTACTACTGTGAAAGTGGTGTATGTCTTGAGTACATCAATGCTAGAATTTGTTAAAGATGAAACTTTGGAGGCAACAAGAAGAAGATCAAAGTGGGACAATGATGACTACATCTGTCATGTTCATATTCTCAATGGTATGTCTGATTCTCTATTTGATATCTATCAAAATGTTGAAACTACAAAAGAATTGTGGGATTATCTTGAATCCAAATACATGACTGAAGATGCTTCAAGTAAGAAGTTTTTTGTCAGTAACTTTATGGGTTACAAGATGTCTGACTCCAAGCCTGTTATAGAACAATTCCATGAAATGTTCATGATCTTGAGACAGTTTTCTCAATATAATTTGAAAATGGATGAATCCATTTGTATGGTTGTGATTATTGACAAATTGTCCCCTTCTTGGAAATATTTTAAACATAATCTAAAACATAACAAAGAGGATTAACTTTGACTAAAATTGAAAGCCATTTACGGATTTAAGAGTCATTAAGGACTCAAGAACTTGATAACAATCCAAAATGCAAGAACCAAGTTGGTTGCTCTTCTGTGAACATGGTGGAAGGAGAAAGTTCAAAGAATCCCAAGAAGTCTAATGGAAAAAAGAAGTTTAAAGGAAAGGATGACAAGTCTTATAACAAGAAGGGAAAAGTGGTTTTTTGGAATTGTAACAAACCGGGTCACTTTAAGAAAGATTGTTGTCTTCGTAAAGTGAATAAGGATGGTGCTGGATCGAGTGGATCCAAGGATACAGAAAAGCAACAAGGTAAGAATTCTGATTTTATGCAGAATTTTAATTGTGTGCAGAGTTATATTTCTATGATTTCTGAAGCATTTTATGTGCATGATGATGATATTGCATGGTGGGTTGATTCGGGAGCAACAAACCATATTTGGAACGATCTTCATTGGTTCAAAGAATGCAACCAATTGAAAATGGATCTGTGCTGAAAATGGTAAATGTTGCTTATGAACGAATCAAGGGTTTAGGATTTGTTTTGATTTACTTTACTTCTAGAAAGTGTTTATGTTTGAACAATGTTTTGTATGTACCGGGGATTCGAAAGAATCTAGTGTCTGAAATTGTCTTGAAAAATTGTGGTTACAAACAAGTATTACAAAGTGACAAGTATATATTGTCAAGACATGGTTCTTTTATGGGTTTCAGATATTTATGTAATGGAACGATTAGGATTAATATTAATTATCCTAGTTATGATAATTCTGTTTGCATTGCTTCTTCTAGTTCTAGCAATAATTTTGATAAATCTGATTTATCTCATGCTAGACTAGGACACATTCATTACAAGAGATTAAGAGACATATCAAAAATGAGTTTAATTCCCGCTTTTGATATATATAATGAAAAATGTAAAGCATACATGTTAACTAAAATCATAAGACAACCTTTCAAAGATGTTGTTAGGGAAAGCAATGTCTTGGAGCTTATACATAGTGATTTATGTGATTTCCATGCAACACCTTCCCTTGGAAATAAAAAGTATGTTGTTACTTTTATTAACTATGCATCTAGATATTGTTATGTCATTGCTACATTCAAAATATGAAGCTCTTGATAAATTTAATATTTATAAACAAGAGTGTAACACACATAAAAATCCCAAGAAATTTAAACTTTTTAAAACCAACCCAAATTCACAAATTGTTCACAAAAATAGTTTTCAAAACATTTCGAACATCAGAGTCTCCCAAAATCATAAGTCATAAATAAGAGGATGTGTACGGTCATGCCTTCGCCTTTCCGTGGTCATCCGAAGTACCTAAAACATAACCCAAAACTGTAAGTCAACGCTTAGTGAGATCCCCCAAAGTACCAACACATAAAAAGATAACATATATATGATAACAGCATGACGGGTCCAATCAACCATCTGGTTGGAATACCCCAATATATTAATATTATGGGTCCAGTCAGCCATCGGGTTGGAATACCCCAGGCCCACTCAACCATCGGGTTGGAATGCCAATCTATAACGGGTCCTATCATGCTCGGGATGGAATAACCTCGGGCCCAATCAACCATCAGGTTGGTATGCCCCCGACCTGTTGGCTTACGCACAAGCAATAAAGCCTCAACCACCAACCAAATATGTGCACATATAACAAATAAATATACAAACAGTCTACAGACAGACAAACAAATCTACAGATCACTAAGCATAGCATCATCCTATATACCAAGATACCGATCGAATAGATCACTATACCAAAATAACATACTATCACATAACATGATACCAAATCCAAAGGGCTGGCCTTGGTGCCTTCGACCCACAAGTACAGTGAGGAAAACTCACCTCACAAACTGGACAAAAGTTGATGAGGTATCGACTCCGAAACTCAGCTCTAATCAACACCTATTCCAACCAATTTACCCATCTTAGTTAAAATCCCAAACTACCTAAAATACCCTTAAAGTCAAACTTGGTCAAACTTGGTCAAGGTCAACCCACATCACGTCGTGGCCAGGCATTGGTCACGTCGTGACAGCAAACCCGATCCGATTCCCACTCGACTTGACCCAACTAGACATTTCAGCCAAAGAAACCACCTGAACAGACATCACGACGTGAGCACCCATTCTCACATCGTGAGCTCCAAGGGTTCTAACAGAAAATGGGGATGCTCCGAATATCACGTCGTGAGATTTTAAATCTCACGTCGTGAGTGCTTTCTGTGGCTAAGGGTCACCATTTTAAGTGGGCACTCTTGGTCAATCGATCCACGATAACCCATATAGCATCAACACCCTCTGTCGTCTTCGACAATTTGGTGATAAAATCCATGGTGATCTGCTCCCATTTCCACATGGGAACCTTTAT